TCCATCCAACCACCCACCTTCTATCCATCTCTCCATCCGTCCAACCACCCACCTTCTATCCATCTCTCCATCCATCCGCCCACCCACCTTCTATGCGTCTCTCCATCCATCCGCCCACCCACCTTCTATCCATCTCTCCATCCATCTGCCCATCCACCAGTGCATCCATCATCCAACCATCCCAACATGGTTTTCCTCCCTAAGCCCTCCCCACTTAAGACACATTGCTGTGTGGGACGGGGGTTCCATGAGGGGCACCCCACCTGGAGGGCTGGAAATAATGGCCTATGAGGGGCTTCTGAGAACAGGGTGAGGGAGGATGTGTGGGGGAGGGAAGGAGAGGGGAGGTGCAGGGAGGCTGGTGTGTGTGTGTGTGTCTGTGTGCGTGTGTAGGGCAGCATGAGGACAGGGGTTGTTGCTCAGGGAACAGAGCTTGCTGGGGGGGGCAGCATGAGGGTGGGTCACACGGTGAGGGGCAGGGACAGGGAGCAGGACCTCCTCACAATGCTTTTCTAGCACATTCACGCTGTTCTGGCTCCTGTCAACTGAGCACACGTTTGCCTTTCATTTCCTGGCTCCTTTAGGGACACAATTCCCCTGAGCACGGGCCAAGGGGTCTGGAAGGAACCACTGGTGTTTCCACTATGTTTATGGGTGCCTTTGGAAGGGCATGATGCTATCTGGTGCTACCTCTCCCTTTCACTAAAGAGGGAACCGAGGCCCAGAGAGGTGAAGTGACTTGCTCAGGGTTGCACAGCTGCTGAGTGGCAGAGTCGGAAGGTAATTTCCACTAGCTAGCTGGCGCATTTGGTGCCTGAGGACTGGTCTCCCCCAGGGAGATGCGTGGGCTGCAAATATTAGGAGACAGCTTGTGGGAAAAGGGCATTCATCCGAGGACTCTGGTGTCTGAGGCGGGCCCAGGGCCTGAGCTGCTGAGCTGCCAAGATGCCTCTTTTGTTCCCGAGTCTCACAGGCATGACTCAGCTGCTGAGGGTGCTGGCCTTTTGCATGGTGCAGGGCTCGATGTCCTCATTCTGCCAATCCAGAAATGCTGGGGAGGAGAGCGATGGGCTGAGTGTCCGTGTGGGGCTGGCCCCTGCTCAGCCACCTATGTCTGCTCTGGAACCCGTGGGCAGGGCAGGGGACTGGGAGGAGGTAGGGCAGCTTCCGGAGGACGGGATGGTGGCGGAGCAGACACCTTAGGCATCCACTACAGAAAGGAGGACCATTAGTGAAGCCCTACTGTGTGCCCAGCCACCAAGCCAAGTGTGTTATGTGGCCCCAAATTTCGTCTCTGCAATGACCCCATCTAGTAGGTATTATCAGCCATACTTTGCAGATGAGGACACCAAGGCACAGAGAGGGGAGGCAGTTCTTCCTGGGCCACACAGCCAGCGGAGCAGTGACCCAGACAGGCCCAGGCCCGTTTTTTAAATTCAAGAACCCGGAGGTAGAACGACAGCTCCCTCTGGACTGGGGACCCTGAGAAACTTGTATGGAAATACAGTCCCTGTTTGGCCCAAAGATAACGGCATGGTAATGAGGTGTGTATTGGATCTGTCTGCAGAGGACGTCTTTGATGAATTATTTAGGCTGGCTCCGGAGAAAGTGAACACGGTGAAAGAGGTAAGAGAGATCAAAGCTCGCAGTCGCCCTCCTGCTTGTCCACCCTGAGTCCCGGGGGATGAAGGGGAAGGAACAAGGCCCTCACTCCTCACCTGCTGTGCTTCGGACACCGCGCAAGGGGCTTTCTGTCCCCTCCCGAGCAGGAAGTTGGCAAACCGGAGCCCTGAGCCTTAAGGTCCTTGTCCTTCCTCGGGTAGGCCATCGTGAACTTTGTCAACCAGAACCTGGACCGCCTGGGCCTGTCTGTGCAGAACCTGGATACCCAGGTAGGGACTCAGGCGTGGGGCCCCCGGGCAGGGAAGGGCCATGGGGTGCAAGTTGGGGAAGAGGGTCCTGCGGGGCCCTGAGAGCCGGGGCCTACCGCCGTGTGGCCCAGGATGTGTTGCCTCTCAGAGCTCTGGGCTCCTCCTCTCTAGTGGTGGGGGGTTATTGCTGGGAGGTAGCCTCACCAACCAGGGACACTGCAGGGATCTTGCGAGGCAGGGACTGTGGGTTCCCCCATGCAGTTGGAGCCCCCCTCGTGTGACTGCATTTGCTCACGGTGTCACGTGCCCGGCGCTGCCTTAGAGCTTCTCTGGGCCCAGCCCGCCGCAGCTGACTTCACCGAGTGCTGCCGTGGGGCAGGAGCAGAATCTTACCCAGTCAGCCGTGTGCAGGGGGCCACAGCCTTCCACGAGGATACTGTGCACCCGTAATGTCCCCTCAGCACAGAGGGGAACGGAGAAGCTGAGAGGCTAATCGTCAGCCCAGGGCCTTCGGGGGGGCGATGGAGCCTGCTGGCCACTGGCCTCAACCACCTGCCACCCTGTTTCCGCCCATGCAGCGTGGTGGCCGTGGGGGAGTGAGGTGGAAGGCAGGTCTGGCCCCCGGTGGGCCAAATGGCTTATGGCGATCTTAGCCAGAGCTGCTGACTTCCAACACGCCTGGCATTAGCCAGCGAGGGACAGGGTGCCAGGTATCTAAAGGCAATAAAGCCCTCACTATGTGCCAGGCCCTGAGCAAAGTGCTTTACATCCAGTAACTCCTGAATCCTCCCGGCAGTCCCTGCGGGGGGAGCAGATACTACCCCATTTTATAGATGAGGACACTAAGACACAGAGGTGTCGATGAACTCATGCAAGGTCACCCAGCGATAGAGCAGAGGACCTGGGATTTGAATCCAGGGTGCTGAGGCCACAGTTTATGCACCTCACCACGTCCCATGGTGACCACAGGAGAAGCCCGTGTGTGATGTGGTGTGGTGACGTGGTGGGCTAGCGATACCAGGCTCTGGACCGATGGGTACCAGATGGACACGTGTGGCCTGGGCTTCAAGGACACCTCCTTCACATGGTCTGTGTGGCCTTGGGTTGGACTTCTCTGAACATCAGCCTCCTCTTCTTTTAATATGAGTTTAAGGAGACCAGCCTCATAGAATTGGGAGCAATAAATAAGATGAGGAGCCTCTGGTGTTTACCGTAGGACCTGGTACACTGTGGACATGCCATAAATGCTGAATTTGGGGTTTTATTATATCTTATGTGGGGATATAAGGATGATCCTGTAGGTTTCCATTTTACCTGCTTCTCATTTTTATCTCTCCCTTGGTGAAGGAATGGCGTTCGGAAAATAATGATATGTGGGAGGACTGTATGTAGAGACCGTCGGATAAAGGGAGAAGTTGAAGTCCCTGGTATTTTGGGGGTATTACCAGAGAATATCAGCAGAAAAGATTTCAGACCGAACTAATAACATCGGAAGAGACCTAATGTGAGGAAATTCTATTAAGGACTTCGAGTGGTGGTTTTCCCTCCGATAGCTAATCTTGTGTTTTGTATCTTTGAAGAGATTGAGTAAGATTATGCTAGGATATGATATGCTGGTGGTGGGCTGACGGCTTTATCTCTGAACACACAGCCCAAACAGGCAGAAATATTAACGTGGCAGCCAGCAAAATGAGCCCCGTGTGCTATTCTCTGCCTCTTCCGGAGGAATAATTTTACACGCAACTCTGTTTTCTCCTGTGCTCCTGTAGCTCGTGGATCAGTATGTGGTTTAAAAAGCGATATTCAGCTATCTCACAAGATAATGTGGAGCGTGTGGTCTGTGCCAGGTGGCCAGTGAGTGCTTGCTACTTGCTGTCGCCGATGTTTACAACACACTGCAAAGGTCGGGGATGTTGTCTTTAAGTCTCAGAAAGACAGTTGAGACTCAGAGAGGTGTGTGCCTCCTGCAGCGCCACACAGTCCGCGGGAGGCAGAGCGGGAGCCCTGGGCCGTCTGCCTCCAACACTCTCCTCTGCAGTTTGCAGATGGGGTCTTCTTACTCTTGCTGATTGGACAACTGGAAGGCTTCTTCCTGCACTTGAAGGAATTCCACCTCACTCCCACCTCTCCTGCGGAAATGGTAAGTTTTCCAGAGGTTTCCTTGATGTAGACCTTATGGAGTTGGCAATACCTGTCTCCTTATTCACTTCCAGGTGAAGTGAAGGGTGGAGGGGAAGTTTGTTTGGTTGTCCATATATCTACCCATCCAACCACCCATCTACCCAATTCATCCACCCATTCGCCTTCCTGCCCATCCATTTATCTGTCTGTTTATCTACTCATCCATCCATCCATCCATCCATCCATCCACCCTCACACATATCCATTGACTTGCCTATTTGCCCATCCACCCAATTCATCCACCCATTTACCTACCTGCCCATCCATTCATCTATTTATCTACTCATCTACCCACCAACCCACCCACCCACCCACCCATCCATCCACCCACCCATCCATCCACCTTCACACCTCTCCATTGA